GAACTTGCAGCCTGTTTTAAAATAGGGACTCAACACTCATCAGGTCAGCAAATAAAGCACTTAAAGCTAAGTCTTACACAGGCTGAGCAATTGCAGCACACAGACTTTCCTTGCTCAAGATCAAGTAATAGGCCACTGGTAGACTGGGAGCAGTGCTCCTGACTCCCAGCCCAGCTCCCCTTTTGCTCTTTATCCCGTGAAAGACCTTGTAATCATACCCCCCAGACTCTGACATTAACCTAAAGCTACTCATCATTTTGGCAACAGTTTGTTAACTATTAAGAAACTTTTAATGCCAAGTGATTGTTAAAATGGAAACCTAGATTGCCGCTTGTCAGGTAAGGACCGACTCAGGCACCACCAGATTCCTTTGTTGCAAGTGGTCTGAAATACCACTTGCAGTGAGTAGGAACATGAACCGCAGCGGTCGGGAGTGGATGTGGGATGCAAGGTACGCTTGAATCCTTGTGCTAGCAGAGCCAGACTGTTTCAGACATAACTTTACCAGGGCTCTTTCGATTGAAAGTGTGACAGGCTGACTGGGGGAGGCTGCCTGTTCTCTCCAGTCAAAACCATTCAAGTGTCTGTCCACATCTTGAAAGACAATTTAAAATAAAAGTTTCTCCCTTTCTACCCAGCAGTTACCCAATATGACTTTTAGGAGCTCTCTCTGTTCTTCCCTCAGTGATGTAAGCCAGCATAACTACTACAGTGATCCTACAGTAGCAATGAGAGTGTTCTTGCAATGCCAGTCGCTGGTGGTGTCTGTTTGACTTTCAGTACACTGATGGCTCAGTGCATCAGGGAGGGAGAAAGTTTGCTGACTGGAACTCTCCAGTAAATGAGAGCAAAGCCCTGTGCATAGACTACTGTAAAACGAACCAGGAAGAAAGTTAAGCTGAGAAATTGCTTTCTTGCTACTTCTGTATTAGGGACTTGAACACACTGTTTAAAAGTTTCCCAGTGATGGAAGGCATTGACTTTCTGAAAGACACTTCTGCTACAGATCTTATGTGCCTTTGGGACTATTTGTGATTTCTGATTTGGATACTTAGAAAAGAAAATGCAAGGATCTTGCATGCCGGTGAAATGCATGAGCCAAAACACCCAACAGCTAACCAAGACATCCTCTGGTCTAGCTTTAGTTGTTACAGTGCACCATGAGGAAGCTGCCGTCTTTTTCAAGCCCTCCTCTTAGGAGTGACAAACCCCCCCCCCCCCCAAAGTCATTCATGATATAGATTTAACAGAGGAAACTCAGGAGCTTCTGAATTACTGTTGTTCACACAAATTTTGCACTTAAAGTCAAGACATTTTAAAAAACACACACAAACACTACACAAGTCAAGCTTTCTCTCACATCCTTACCTCCCAATCCCTTCCCCTCTTCTCTCTTGTCCAGCAAGGCACTAGGAAATGGTTCAAGTTTAAGCATTTGCTGTACATTTACATTTAAAAAGGCACATCTTTATTTTAATGATGCTGTATTCCTCTTTCAGTAAGGCCCATACATTCTTCTATTATGGTGTAGAAAAGAAAGTTAATTTCCCAGGCATGAAAAAAAGACACCTTGCACACAGAAGAGCCCCAAACCTATTACTGTTTGTAGGCCTTAGAGATTAGCACCAGTATAAATCAACAAGAGCTTCAAGAGCAAATCAAAGTATTATTATTTTGCAACTTAACACACATCCAGGGATCCCCATGTTGTCTGAGATTCTGGTAGTTAAAAGCAGCAGAATTTATGCATCCACAGAGAGGTGTTTTTTGAATAATTTTTTGTGAAAAAAAATATGAAAACATTTATTTTTGCATTAGATAATCACTGGTATTTAATCTCCAGTCTTGACTGGCATGCAGATGTGAAGATTTGCTTATGTATTCATGCTCTAGAAATTTTGCCTACAAATAACCAAAAGTAATTGGAATAATTAACCAGATTGCCCAGCAAAGGCTCAATTAAAGATGTAGATGATGAAATACAGCTTCTAATTCTCAATCAGTAGATGGTTGGCTATATTAAGTCTTCTCATTAGTCAGCAAAGCCTCTAGGGTATTGAAAAGTATAATTGATGTAAATAAATTAATAGCTCAGAGCCCAGCAAGTCAGTCAGAAGCATACACAATTCGTGGGGCACTTATCACACTCAGATCTCAAACCTTCAGAAAACAGATCAGATCAACCATACAGGAAGGACCCAGCAGGACCACTCACACTAAAGCTCCAGTTTCCATGTACTGGTGGTTGGTTGTCAAACAGGAATTGCCTCAACAATTACCTCATCTTTTGGTACATTCTGCTAAGAGCCGTCCTTTCTCACCAAATTAAGATCACTAAGTGGTAAAAGACCTGCTCATTACTGCAGTTCTCTCTGAAACAAGGTCCAGCAAGCCAAGCAGCTGAGACTCTCTTCACAAGGTGAGCCCAAGTACAAAGCAAGCCATGCATTTTAGAAACAAAAGCTAATCCTCTAAGACACACAAAGTTGCAAGCTGCAAGCAGAATAACCTACAGTCCATTTATATCGTTTGCCAATTGTGTCTCAATTATAAAAAAACTAGCACTGTTCATGGACAAACAGCTTCTTGTTCCACAGGTATTAAAACATTCATAAAGACACCTAGTCAGGCCATCTAGTGATCCACAGTCAGCACTACCAGACTAATGAGAGCATTAATAACTTAAGGAAAGCAATAGTCAGACACAAAGCACAGGAAAGTGGCTCTGTCTCCCATAGAAATTAAAAGGGATCCTAATGACAGATATATTGTAGTTACCGAGAACATGTCAACTCTGACGCTGGTCTCACTTCCATAGCAATATTGCTGCAAAACTGGCATAAGGAAAACCTGCAGCTTTTTTTCTTTCATCACTCCCAAAACGTTAGGTACCAACACATTTGGCAAGCCTGCTCTTAGCTGTGCCCATGCTTCCCTTTCTTCATGACTGCATGTACCAGGTAAGTTGGCAGAAAAGGTCAGATACATTCTCAGCTGTGAGGATGAGAAAGGTGGAAATCGTTTTGAGCCTCGTGGCCAATACATCAGACTTGAGAGCTTGAGAGGCAGCTAGTTGTGTCCTAGTTTGCTCCCAGTTGACAGACACAACACTACATGTCCTCAAAGACATCGTAAACATGGACAATGATCCTACAACTGGCAACATCAGAAAGGCTTCTTGCTTCTGGAGCTCTGCAGAGGGAGCCAGCCTGCTTGTTTCTTGACACTACGCAAAAATCTCCTTGCCTTCACAGGAGAGAAAGACACCCCAGAGCAGAGTTTCCCTGCCCCTCTAAGGAGGGAAAGTCCATTAACTGTGCTTATCAAGAGTTCCAGAGGCGAGCCCTACTCCTATCCTGACTGTCAGCCTTTTACTCCCAGAGCTGGCTGCACACTACCTCCACTTGCAACGCTCCTGCACAGGCAGCAACAAACAGTGGAGCTTGGGAATTACTGGCAAAGGGCTAGTTTTATTGATTTACACAGCATCTTTGCAAAAGGTTAACTGCACTGTCATTCACAGCTTTTGGTAGAAAATGCCACTGCTGCCTTCAGTATAAGGCTAAGTGGGCTGAACTATGAAATCTGTTTTTGCAACAACTTAATTTTAAACCAGTGTGGGTTTTTTTTTAAACTTTTTAGACTTGAAACCAATGGTCCTCCATTCATTCTTTAGTATCCGTGCTTTTTTACATCTCCTGGGATGAGACAATTCTTGCTCAGCGTCTGGCAGATCCTGCAGTGAAACCAGAAGGGCAATACCTCGCACTGCTAACTGACTACACAAGGGACAGGGTACCAGTGAAATTGGCCCATCAATCCCACATCTCTGCTTCAGAAAACAAATTCCAGTCACAGTAACTCTACAGTGCTGTGGCTGCTGGGAAAAGAGGAGAGATTAACAGCACATTCCCACAAGCCTAGAACACCACTGACCACAGAAATCATGACTGCAACAGACTGAAGAACAAATGGATAAAAACCAATCACTTAATCTCAGCCTTGACTTAATTATCATGAATTAATCCCCTCAAACCAACTGTGAATTAAGTTAGCTTCACACCCTCTAAAGGAAAAACGGAAGTTGCCTTCATGTAGCATATTTAAAAGGAAAAATGGAAGTTGCCTTCATGTAGCAGATTTCACTCTGAGAAACCCTAGACGTGTCCATGATAGAAAGATTCTGAATAAGAGCCAAATTTGGAATCTGATATCCAAAGGCTCTTAGCGAAAATCTTCACCTGTAAGAACTGTGCTTAGTTAAAAACCCTCTGCTAATCTTTCACCTTGAAGATTCAAACTGACTGCAAAGTGAATGGACCAGAAACCCAGATTCCTCATCGCTAATAACTACAGCGATATTCCCAACACTTGGCTGCACTTCCACTAGAGCTCATTCCTTTACCAGATCTATGATTTGGAAAGTAATAATACTCAACCTGTTCGAAATATATTTTAGTTCAGGGCAAAAAAAAATATTTCATTTTACATTTTGCTGGCCTCTTTTTTGTGTCTATGACAAGGAAAGATTAAATTTTGTGTTCAAGATTTTATTTAGATGGACTTTGGAAGATAAATCACCTATGTGGGAACACTTCAGTGGGTGGTATAGCAGCTACAGAAAGTCCTGGAGGGTCCTGGATAAGAAAATCATTTAACATCAGACCCAGGTGGGAAATAAAACAGTAACAAAAATAAAAAAGCAAAAAAAAAAAAAGAAAAAGCAGTTTGAATCACATTCAGACTCCTCTAAAAACAGAGTTTTTGTTCCAGTCTCAGCACAGAAATGGCTCTGGCAAAGCCTTTAAAATTCCACCATCCCCGGAAGAGAAGGATGCAGCATCTTCACAATAAAGACTGGCCTGCTAGTTAACCTTCTCCTGAGATTCTCCCTTTTACCTTCATTAACTGTTTAAAAAAAAGTATTCTTAAAAAAATTTTTTGTAACCCTCCCCAGTAAAAACTATAATTGTAAAATATATATATTTTTTCTCAGTCTTTTAAAGATCAAGATTTCTGTTAAATTTTTCCAAGACAGTTGAGTTTGTGTGTTCAAATATCCACTGCTGTGTTGGAGATGAAGGATTGCAGCTATTCATGAAGATCTTCCGGTCACTCTCACTGCAGTCCATACAGCTGCTGCTTACTGGATGGTAGAGGGTCTTGTCCTGGAGAAGAGAAATTTGACTTTGAAGTTGCTAAGTAGAGAAGCAAAACTGTTTTAAAACCAACAGACAGAAGTCTTAAAAACCAAGGCAAGCTGTTTTGTCACTTGGATGTAGCCAAAAAAGTTGTTCCACACTTAACTGGTTGGCAAGTACCAGGGTCCATTCCCACCCTTGCAACAGTACCCAGCCCAGTCCTCACACTGGTACTGGGAAGCTCTAAAGCTGTGTCTGAAGCCAGGTTCTCCAGCCTACAGGTTCACATCCTGCTGCGTCACTCAGCGGCAGCACTGTGCATGTGGATTGCAAGGACTAGGACAGAGCATTTAGTCGAGAATTTACTTACCTGTTGGCCACAAAAGCATTGCTTAGTAGGAGGATGAATAAATCCTTATTTACTTATTACTTATTTACTTTTGGCATGATCTTCTAGTATTCAAAACAAACCAGTACAAGCAGCAAACCTCTCTGCAAACAGATTTGGCAAGGGTGCTGCACCGTCTCACTGCCAGCTGTGGACAGGACTGCAAGGACAGTGTCATTCTGCTTCACAAACCCTGCAGAAGCAGTCCTCACTGTTTCTAACCAGTGGAACAGGGGAGTCACCTCTTTCTAATCAAAGGTAATTAATGGCACCATGACAACAGATTGCCAGCAGATTCTCATATCACAGTAGCTATGTGAATAGAGGAATAAAACATGAGTGGTGACATTTTAAGGACACTTCAGTACCTACAGGCAATTTGACACCTTAAATAAGCATAGGCGTACACACGTGTGCACACGCACACACACAGACTCACTTTTCGGTATCTCCAGAGCTGGTTCCCCTTCATACCATGACAGTCATAGAGGGTCACAGGACTGCTGTGGGAAATGGCATCAAAACAAAACTTCTTGGTATGCTGAGGGTCCCCGGGTCGGATGTCTTCTCTCCAGCTGAACGTGAATACCTGCCAAGGCAAACAGGACCATCAGGAGGACCGATACTGGGCACAGTGCTTTCACCAGCAGAACGATGTTCCCTTCTTTGCACACAGTGTGTGGACGGCTTCAGGGAAAGGACAGTATCTTCTCGAGAAAAGCTACTTCCACCTCTGGGGACAGGGACTGCTGAGTAGGGGAGTCTGTAACAACTACCCCACGGACTGCCACACAGCATGCTAAATGAGGCTGTGCTGCTGCAAAAGCCATGCTAGTTAGCTTGGGTACTAATAGCAGCCTTGAATGTCTCTGCAATGCAGACATACATCATGGATTAACTGAGCAGCTGACCAATTACAGCACTTCACAGCTAGCAAAAAAGGCAGAGAGCTACAGGAGCTTCAAGTTAATGCTGGCAGTAAATACCCACGTCTGCAGAGGCAGCCTGCAGTCACCTTGAGAAGAGTCTGTCCCACGCCTTCTAGGACAAGAGACCAGGAGCCCACAGCTCCTTGCCCCACCCAAGTCCAAAGGAGTGTCAGAAGGACACACTAGGGCATTGCTTCCCGGTGCTCTCTTCTATCAGTGAATCTGTTAGATCACCTGCAGTGATCTATCAGCACTTTTGGGTGAAATGAAAGGAGCGATACTACAGAAAAGAAGAGAAAGGGTTTTAGCTCTAGTAAATAGGCACAACCTATCAATGCCTGGCAATGCTGCAGCCGTGATGAAAGCTGCTGGATGCCAGCACATGTGGTTTGGAAATCCCTGAGCCATAGGGCTGGACCATGGAAGAAGAGTCAGTGGAAGTACTACCACGTGCATGCTCTGCTCCTTGTCCTGTCCCTTGGCATCTGCCTTTGGCCACAGCTTGAGGCAGTAGCATGGTCTATCTGCATCTTCTTCAGTCTGATGATCACGGCTTGGCATATGACATGTTTTAAGCATCACAGGACTAAATCCCACAAAAGATAAACTGATTTAAAGGCAGGCACTGGTATCAAGCTTTTGCTTTCTACTTTGACAAGAACAGCATCTCTGGCAAGGGTACAAGAGTCTTCTGTGACCAGCACTAGCCAACATGGTTCTGCAGGGCTACTAGCCAGCACACCTCGCTCTCAGTCCCCGAAGGAAAGGGCTGTTCTGGGGGCTCCTTATGGAGCCAGGTGGAGGAATGGTCCTCTCTTCAGAGAGATCTCACAGGACAGTAAGCAGGATAAGTAATGAGCAGCATGCTTCTACTTGAAGCAGCGTGGCCAAAAATTTTTGCCCAAAGAAGCTACTTTATTCCTGTCTCTCTTTTAAACCTCTCGTGAGAGAAATTAACACAATCATTTAGGCTCAAAGCTACACAGAAGTTTAAAGCAAATTCTCCTTCTAAACATAAGCCAACACTAATTGTTCAAGATCCTCCTGACACAACAGAGGCTTAGTTTTGGACTGTGCCAAGTAAATCAGTTTCTAGTTTTCATGCATCACAACTGATATGCAACAACCCTCTGTCTCCTACTACTGAAGCCATTCCCCTGAAGAGTTATGCATGGCTCTGTAATAGAGGCATTGTTTTCTTGATCTTTTCTTAGCTCAGCTGCTACAGTTTAGACAAACTAATATTTCCCTCCTTTCTGTTACAATAAAGCTGTCATTTCTGGCACCTTATACATTGAGAGGGTGAATCTATAGCCTGTCCGGTTTCATCTCTCTCCAGCAACAGCTGGGTGTTTATAATGCATGTGCCTCCTGTCAGAAGGATGATAGTAAGCTCCTGCAGGGTCATTAATATGCATGATGCTCCTCTATCACTTCTTTCAGCACAACCTTTGAAGTTAATATTCACTTTGTTACATATTACAGCTGCCTTGTTACTGGTTTCTTTTATTATTTTGGCACATTGTTTTCTCGTGCTTTCTTTTGTTTGCTCTGAGAACTTCATAGCAGAGGTAAAAGCTCTGCACAAAGTCTGCCACACCTGCCACAAACACAAGCCACATCCTGTACAAACCCAAGTATCATTAGCACATGAGCCTTGGGGTGCACAGCACCCTCTGTTCACCTGACAGAGCTCTGCAATGCCCTCCCTTCTCAAACTTTTGTTCTCATAATTTCTTCCTCCCCAAATTTATTTAGGAGTGATGATTTATCAGAGAGACTGTTACCTGCACGTTGTTCCATGCTGCCTCTCCTCTGTCCTTCACACAGTTTTCCAGCCTCAGTGGGGATCCCAGGGCTCCATGCTTAGTATCCACACACAGTCCAGTTCCTACATTGCGTATCTGAAATAGTAAATTAGTCACTGAATCTCCTACTCTGACCAATTGACAGGTGAGAAGTCTTAAACTGTCTCAAATAGTGGCAGTATTTGAAAACAGTTTTAAGATTCCTCACTTAACTACCTATCTGAGCTGGCAGACAACAGCTACAAGAAAGCACAGGAACTCAAAATGGGACCCATTGCCAGCTGTACACTAACCTTCAGGACACAGCAAAACCCATTAGCTACAGGACTGCAGAGCCCACTATGTTGTTGTGTGCAACAATCCACAGCTTCACTCTTGGGGTGACTCCTCTCCCAGAACACAGCTGACTTTCAAAACCAGGGATGGTTTTCTTGGCTTTCAGATGGGAAAGCTTAAGAGCAGAGTAGCTCAACACAGTTGCGTAGCCTTTTGGAAATAAAAGGTTCCTACCATTGCTTAGCTGCCTCCTATCGCTAGTTGTCCCTGTTGGCCCGTTGTGCCTTCTACTAAATAGGCAACACGCAGAACAAGCCAGGTCTCTATTCCCTTTGGAGCTGTGCACTAACAGAAACGGCTGCCAAACTGCCTTCTTTGATCAGGACAATACAATGGTAAAGGAGTTACGGTCTTCGAAACATATCAAGCAGGATCTTTTAAACACTCGCTTGCCCCCTTACTCACAGCAAACCGGTACTGGAGCACATGGGTAAGGCAGCTTTAAAAAAAAACAAACCGCAGACAGTTTGCTCACTGCTGATTTCAGAGCACAAACTTGCCTCTCCCCAGGCAGCTGCTGGAGGCTCCACTGGTGGGTAAAACTTTGGCAAGTCCCACGCGACCTCATTCATGAACCACTTGAAGCTTCTGCAGTTGAGGTTGTTGCGAAGTTCCTTCTGAGCCGCGACATCCCCGGCAGAAAGATGCCGGTACTCTGGTCTGCGCTGGTATATGTACTCTGCATATTCGTCCATCCACACCTCAGCCACCCGCTTCAAGTTCTGTGTGGGTAACAGCCATGTGTGAAAATGAGAAGCAAAACCACCTGAGAACACTCTGCACAAACTACTGACATTAGCATTCAGAACAGCTCCTGTGTTTTTGCTCAGAAAGGATTTTCATTCACATCCACTCTCTTTCCAACTTCAGGATGAAGATTATTTTTATTATTCTCTAGTTCCAAGGGACTTTTAGAAAGATATTTTCAGTTGAGGTCAAAACAGAATCCTGGCACTTGGCAATTATATCTAGTTCCTTGTGGCTAAAAAAACCAACATTAATCAAAAGATTTTTTTTTCTTTTCTTTTTTTCAGAAAAGAAGCTAGTCAGAAAATGATGCTGGTAAATACCACTGGACATTCAAAGGTCCCCAACAAAAAGCTGCTTTCTTAAATCCTTCCTATTGCTTCTTTTATATCCATCTAGGAGTGAGCTTTGCAGTACTCCCTTCTCAAAAGCTTCAGTTCAAAATATTCTTTCTTACCACTATTTTTCCATTTTCTTAGGTGAAAAGCTGTTTAAGAAAAACTCTGAGATACTGCAGGAATACGGAACTTTCTGATAACCCTTCAGAACAGAAGCAAAGGGTTTACTTCCTGGCAGCAGTACATTTCACATATCACTGTAAAGCTTAATCCACTGTGCCATTCCAAGTCAGCAATGAACACCACCCTCTCGAGATACCTGCCCTACTGCTTGTCACAACACACTCAAGAGACCGTTGTTGGACCTTGGACTGTTCTCTGGCAACATCAGGTACATTCTTGGTGTCACACAGTAACGTGCCACGTGCAGTCATGATTTCAGTGACCCAGCAGCGTTGCCCACCTTGCCTGAAGGTGGTCAGTCCAGCAGTGGTCATTTACTACCAAAAAAATTACAGTGGTAAGAATGAGCTGTGTGCTGACCTTGCCCAAATGCAGCCTACACACAAGAGCAGGTGTTCATCTCATGGTGACTGTACGATCTTGGTCCCTACACCTGTCTGCCATCTCCTTCCAGCACTGTGGGAGTATGCAAGAGCCAAATACTGAATCAAAAGAAACATAGCTCCTTCCTGAAGAGATGGCACAGGCAGGAGAGCACTCCATTGCTTTGACAGGTCATTGCTGGGCTGAGCGATAAATCCAAATCTATAACTAGGGCAATGCGATTAAACTGGGAAACATTTTAACACTGTGCAAGCCATAAGACTGCAGAACAGCAGGGTACCTTTGTGGTGTTTAGTTTTGCAGCCTTCCTGTTCCTGTGATTTTTTTCTCCCACCAGAGGGCAATGCAATCCCTTCTCAATTTGGAAATTAACTGGAGAAACCTAGTGCATGATAGGCAAAAGCTCTTTCCTCTTTGGGCTACACTAGATTAAGAAATAAGATGGCACAGAACATTCCATTGTGGGAAATTACAGCTTGCTCATTCAGTGGTCTGTGATGCTTGAAGTTGAGAGGTCTTTCAATCACCAAAACACAATCACCACACCAAAGCCTGCTGCTCTTGGAGAGCACAGCTATAAAATGACTGAAATATTGTACAAATAAAGCCATATCTTGTTTTTATTGGTGATTCCACAGCCAGTGCCTGACAGCAAAGTCCCTTCCCAACACCTAGCAATGGCTGATGTCGGAGCATGGCAGCTGTCCACACACGAGCCTGCAGCTCCCCTAGGCTCTCTTCCCATTGTACTACACATACACCACTGCAAAACTGCTCAATTTGGCCACTGCACAAGTACAATTTATGGACTACAAAGCCTACATTTGCCTCCCATTGTCGGGTGAGAGGAGACAACAGCATGGTCACATTGCAGTCAGACATCTGTCACGGGGAATGCCATTGCTACTTACTCTTGCTAGGCTGACTCCTGTTGGAACCTTGTATGGAACATATTTTCTGTAGATATGACCAACTCTAGAGCAAGGGATGTCCTCCATGCGACCCCCACACATCCATACCTGTGGAACAGCAGAGATACAGATTCACTCTTGGTTATATGGAGAAAAATTAAGTAGAAAAAAAAAAGCTTTCAAGTCATCAAAAAACTCAACCCAGATTTTTTACTTTGAAGTATACTGTCTCTCAAATACCTTCCCCTCCTTGCCTTAGTCTTAAATCCTGTAACTACCCGCTTAGAGCCATTCAGCAAGCCTTGATTTAGCACAAGTGCTATCAAGCCCAATGGCTTAACAGTTCAATTTTGCATTCTTTAGAGAAAAGAACAGGAAAAAAAAAAATCCAAGCACACAGAGAACAGCACACAGCACACTTTAAATTTATACATGTTATTACAGCAATAGTAACGACAACAGTTAAACTGAGCTGCCATATAAGACCTGGACGTAGGTTGTGTACCGTTGCTGTAAAAGGAAGGACATCTCTGTAGTACAGTTCATGTGTTACGCAAAACAGTCCAGAGAATTCAGGAGCCAGTTCAAGTGCCAGAAACCAGAATAAACTGCTACTTTTTCCTGTGGTTATCACTGCTCTCATATGGTTTCATTGCTGACATGCACTCATTGCTTTTGCAGCCTTACAATTAAGCAGAAATCCCTGCCTGGTGAAAACATAATTAGCTTTAAAAAACCCCTCAGAAAGTCACTGGAACACATTGCTAGTTGAAGATGACTACCTCAATGCTTCTTTAATGTTTAGATTAGGCCCAGAAGTTTCTTTCTCCATCTGAGATTTCACTCTGTGCCAACACTCTGCAACAACTTCCTTTTATTCCTTATTTATAGCATGGATGTAATAATTTTGTCGGAGTGAAACTAAAGTAGACGTTTTCCGAACCAGCCAATCTACTTCATTAGGATTAAGAAATATATTCAATATATGCTTCCCAGAGATATCTAATCAATACTTAAAGTATCCTTCAGTATGCAAAACAAATGACTTTCTGAATTCTTGAAGTACAACACTGTCTTGCCCTTCATTTTGTCCCCAGATCTTATGTTGATGCCCCGAAGGTGGCAGTATTTAAGAACGTCTGCTGGTGCTGCAGGCTGATGCAGTGTTCTTGAACTCTCCATTCGCTGTGGCTAATTTCAGCCACCGCAGTTCACTGTACAACGAGCTTAGTCAACAGCTTCACACAGAGCAGGCAATTCCATTAATATTCTACAGTGACAATATTAAATACTTAGCTCGGAAGAGAAATATTTGGCCAAGGCTGATGCATAATTATTATCTCTGACACTAAAGTCCTCTGGAGCTTCAGCTGTGTCTACTGGCCCTAATAATTACAGTCATTTGCTGACTGTGTGTAACTTAATGGAGGTTGGTTGCTCTGAGTTAGAGGAATATTTTTCACAGGCAACTTCTAAAGTTCAAGGTATTTAATTACATGTTGTTATGGTGAGAGAGAAAAGAAGAAAGTCGACAAACACTCCTTCCACAGAATTTCATTCCTTTTGTCCCTGCTGTGTCTCGAGAGGCTGGTACAGAAGAGATGAAGATGAAAAAAGAAACCAGCATTCAGCTTCTGTGAAGTTTCTCGGGGAATGAAAAATGCTTCTTACTCTGTAGCTGCTGTGCTTTTTGCTGCAGAGGGCCACAGTGTGATTCCTCTGATAGGAAATTAACAGGTAGACTGAGAAAACAAGAATTTGGGGATGTTTTGTGTTTCTGTGACAGAAATGGTTTGTGCAAGGCCGTAAGAGCTGCAACAGATCTGGGAACTATAAAAAAACTGCAGGAACAGATGAAGATGACTAGAGCTCAGCTGCACAGACACACACACTCCTCAACAACCTGTATTCTTACCCTGTGCACTGCACCCTGCATCAGGAAAGCCGTTCACAAACAGCTGCATTTTAGTGTAACACAAGCCTGAATGAAAACACCAGCTTGTTATCCTTGCTGCCCACTCACAGGATGCCTCACCTGCCCTTGATCTCTAAGGAAAGGCTTTTGGTCAGGCCACAGTGAATGCATCTCCTCTGAAAAGACAACTTCCCCAAGACACGTGAGAAACAGATCCCTGCAGTCACTATGCAGCTGGAGAGGAGAGCCCTGTCCTTGCGCTGCAGCTCTTGTGAAGCAATAATACAGACAGCACTTATCTACCGAGTGGTACACTGGAGAGGCAGGGGCTATGGGGAGCTAGACAGAACTGGTATGTTGGGCCAAGAGCTCCAAGCTGGTACAAGACTCCAGGCACATAAACACATGTAATGACATGATAAGAAAAGCTACTTAACTGAGTTATTGAATGAGTAAAATCTAAGATCGGTTTCACATGCTCTTTTCCTAATCATGCTTTAAAATGTTTACTCCCAAATGATGCTGCAATTACCAGTGCTGCATGGAGACCATGGAAATCTTCCTAATTCCTGCTAGCACAGCTCAGCGACCCTTTCAAGGTACTTTGCCAAGCCAGTGCCTTTTTAACATTGTCTCATGCTGCAAGTGACAGGATGGCACTTGCAGTACAAATCTAATTTTAAAAGCATGCTTTCCATTCATTCATTGCTGCTTTGATTTATTTTATTAGCGAGCTGCTTTGTGTGGTGACAGAACTCATTACAACCTCCATAAAGACAATTACCAGTCCTTATCTATAAAACTGGAAGAAGGGGAGAGGAAAAGAGCGTGACATGCATCAGTAAACCACAGCTAACAAAAGCATTAGAAAGCTAGAGTTAAAGGTCAGGGAAATCGCATCCCAGGGTCTGTCAAATAATAACTGCAAGTGAATTCAAACCCCAAATAGCTGCCTGGTAGCTGAGAGAATGCTTCCACTCAGTGATATTCCGTTGTTTTTAAACGAGGGTACAGTTCACAGGCATGACACACCAGAACTTGCACTGATGAAAACACAGCACTGTCAAACAGCTGGAACAGCGCGGTTCTGGGGGGCAGCACCTGGTACCTTCACAGTGACACTGACTGCCACTTACTGTGTTCTCCTTAGGCCAGAGGAGCCAGTTTCTTCTTGTTGTTTTACAGAAGGATGAGATGGTGCCTCATCTCCCTGGCTGACGTGACAGTAAACATCAGAGCCTGAACTTGATGCACCTAATTTCAATCAGCCATTTACTAGAACACCGTAAGCACAAGAATTAAAGCTGGTCAGGCAGTCAGTGCTTTACACAATGATCTAATCAGATCTCATTTGGGGAGAACAGGAAATTTCTCTTCCTCCTCAGGCACAATTTTACCAATCTACAATTTGAGCTAGGAATCTAGCAGCTGACAGATCTGCTGGAGTTAAGAGAAAACCTGGCTACACTGAGCTCAATGGGCATACTGCAACAGATTTTTCTAAGGCCACAATCTCACCCTAATAATAAAATCATATATAAGAGAAGTGAAATAACAACACCAGTTATATTACTTCCCTCTTCTCAGTGGCCTGGAGAGCTGTAACTCCATATTCATAAAGCGACTCGAGAGCCTTTGACTCAGCCAGTGCTATGAAAGCACAAGATAATATGCCACCTATTCTCTACATGGGAATGTTATGCTGATCTAACTCCCTTTCCGCTATTTCAGAAAACAATGTCACGTAAGAGAGCCGAACCTCTCCTCTCAAACACAATACAATAACACATTTGGTGTGTGAACACAAATTATGTGGGTATACAAGGTTTATGGTTTCCAAAGACTGCACTATGATGAGCCAATGCTTCCCAAGAGAGGGAAAAAACACAAAGGAAAGAGTCAAGCCTTGAAAAGAAAGCTGCTTCTGCAAGACAACAGAAATAAAGACCATGGGATAGACCAACGGAGAGAAGCTGGCTGGTTGTCTGAGCACACACTGAAAGGCAGAAAGAAAGGACACAGTGGATAGATCAAGGGGGTTCTCTGCATAACAGGGTAGGTGAGAGGATGAAAGCAAGGGCAACCAATAACTCAGGAAAATCATAATCCTCTGTATTGTAAGCATCAGCTGTTGTTGCAGCTGGGACTTACTGCTCTTTAAAAGATTAAGGGAGCTCAAAAGGCACTGAGATCTATGTGTTTGCACAACGCACACAACACACCAGCATGTCTCCTCCTTACTGTCTGGAGCATTTCAGAGTAACGATAGCACTTTCCAATAATCACATTTCAGAGAGTGGAGGGGTCCACTTCCCTGCTCTGCTTGGTGGGAGGCTGCTCTGGAACCCGAACCACACACACAGGGTGAACAGAGGCCAGAAATTCATGTCAGTGGTCTGAAACTGATCTCTGCATCACCAGATAGGAAGGGAGAAAGAAGCCACCCTGAGCTGAGAGCCTTAGAATTAAGCAGCACGTGCTGGGTTAAAAAAAAGAACGACACAAAAAAAGCAGCAGAATGCCCAGCCTGTTTCAGTGCAGGCAGACGTGAGCTGCTGGAAAGTGGTGTGAATATGTGCCTGGAATAAGCAGTGAAAGCTCACAATCAGCACTAACTTCAGTGACACAACTAGAAATGCTGTCAGAAGTGGTCCCGCGGCAGCTGTACCTTGGCTATGCACCTGCCAGGAGACCAGTGGCAAAATGTGAATAAGAAATGTGCTGCTGACATGGGGCAAAGGAGATGTAGGCATTAGATATGCAAACAGAAGCCATGGAGCACTTGGATTTGTTGGAAAACATGCAACGTGTTTTATGCTATGGAACTCAGGAGAAGCAATCCCTGTAGATGCTTTGGATGTAGATGCAGTGGATGTTTCCTGCTGCTGAAGCGAGGAGTGAAGACCATGAGAACTGCCCATCTCTTTTGTCTCCCCTGAATTGTTCTTTTCAAGGCAACTGTCCACATAGCTTGTTTACACCAAGCCCTTTGAATTTTATGAAGGCTTTACAATCTCTAAATTACAAGACAAACGTTTCTACAACTGATCTATCACCTAGTGAGGGACATTCCAGATTCTCATTCCTTGCTCTTGAAGTACAACATACAGTTCAAGGATTGAGAAGCACACTGCTCAAGATCCGAGGTACAAAGTACATCTATATTTATCCCTATACAAGTCACAGACATCACATTTTTCCTCTTCTGTTTCCCCATACCCAAAAAGCCAGAGACTACATATTTATGGAAGAGAAGTGTGACGCAGTTTAGTGAGGATTAGGTAAACCAAACAGAATAGAAGACACTAAAGTATCAGAAAAGAGGCAACTTGATTGTAAATACAACTGAGCATAGATAAGTGCTGCGTAAAGTAGCATTTGCAGAATGGAGCAGTTTAAATGCTTCATATATACTGCTCTGAATTAAATACATTAATCAAAGAAAATGAAGTGGTTACATAGGCAGCAGAATGAAGGTACTTGTTGAGAATATAGGAGCATTCAGAAAATCAGAGCTATTAAGTTGTGTTTAGAATAGGAAAAACACATTGTCACTTTGGGTAAAGTATTCAATTTTGAATACTTGAATCGAACTTTCAAGCATTGCAGAAAGATACAAAAGACTAGGAAAAACTATGAAGGGGGAAAAGTATGGAAGTGACTCCCAAAAAGCAAAAGAAACAATTCTCAAGGAAGTCCACTGAACAGAAAAAGCACAGCTGCAGAGTCAGGGGAGGATAAAGGAAAGGTAACAAGTGCCACACAGAAATAGCTGTGCATCCTTGTTTACCCTTTCTCAACACAAGAATGTACTCAAAGGTCAGCATCTGGTAATCCACCGAGATGGAGGAGAACGGTTCTTACACCATGCAGACCCGTAGAGCACTTTGCCTGGAGCATTCTGCAAGCCAGGTTCACAGAAAAATGAGGCTCATTTGAACAGGTGTAATGCCTGCAACTAAAATTGAAGACTGCAATCTTCCTGCTGCGTCTGATGATGACCTGAAACAGGAAGACTCCTGACCTGTGGAAGCACGAGGTTAAAGGCGCTGAGCTATTCTGGATATACACAGGTCAATAGAAGGAAGAAGCACGTGTTTTCTGCTTGAATATGGAATAGATAGATCGTCTCCTTCATTTCTAATCTATAAATTCCCATTTTAAGGGATTGAGAAGACCCAGAAAACTGCAAACCAGCAGTTAAGGTTAGTAAGTTTGTTTCTAATTTAAAGTTCACCTATTTTTTTTTTGTCCTCACAGCATGCTATGTTTTCTAGTGATGTTTTGTATACACATTTCATACAGGGAGTAAGGCTTCTATTAATAGAATTTCATCCATCCTCCCGATAAATGTTTTCTGAGGTGCTAAACACTGATAGTTTCTCTGTTAGCTTGCCTTCAGCCTCAAAGTTTCTTCTCAGAAGGAAGCAGAGTCAGCTGATGACAGAAATACATATGTTCTTAAAACAGAAAGGCAAGAAGCTCCTAAATAAACTTGTTTATTTCCAGTCTCTCAGCAACAGAGCCCTGGATTTTAAAATAAAGGCAAAAAAATATGTAAAGCACAGTCCATAGGTGGACAAAAAAGAATATGGTTAAGGACAAAAAAAAAAAAACAAACAAAAAACTCTACTCCTGGTGAGGCTAGAGAAGGCCAGATCTGATGCAATGGATCAAAGACCAGCAGTACAAGAGTACCTGCACCCACAACTCCCAAGCATAGGAATGGATTCCTTGTTAAAGCCGGGCTGTAAATTTGGCACCCTTAGAATCTGAACTCCCATTAGATAATAAATAATGTGAAAGCAGGTCCCCTGCATCTAAACACAGAGCTTTAAATTATTTGACAGTGCCCCTTTAACTGAAAAATCTCAGTCTGCTTCTAAAGGTAAAAACATAGCTCTAAGCTCGCCAGGAAATGTCATAGCTTCATAAATTCTATGAACAAACCTTCTATTCTTGCAATTCCAGCAGAATTATTAAATCTATCAGCCACAGATGAATGTATCAATTTATCTTAATTTCTGAAAACACACTGAGCCTCTTTCAGTTAAAACTTCATTTTTCTGTTGCACAACGAAAGAAAAAAGGGGGTCTTTGCAGAGATTAATTAAAGCAAATTTATCCCTCCATAAATTACCATCTCTGGACTGAAATAAAACACAGCATGTTTCAGAGAGAATAAGCAAACAGATGAATGAAGTAATCTGATTTCCTGCAGATCAAGCGGTGTGACTGTCTGCTGTGGCACTGGAGACAAAGGGCTTGCCCAGCCACTGTCACCACTCTTGGAAACCAGCATTTTCAAAGAGGGACAAGGAAAAGAGGCTGAATACCGCCACTGCCCCTCCTGCAGAGAATGACATTGTTACACAATTACATTACATGCGACACAAAGAATAAATGCCTTCAGCCATAATCACATGTCCAAAGACGGTGTCTCCCGCCCCCATCCTTCCTGCTACTGCTACAGAGGACAAGGGACCTCCAAAGTGACTTTATTACTTAGGGGTGTTTATGAGCAAACAATGGAAGAAAAGACACTGCCTTGAAAACAATGCCTTTTCTTGCACTGTTTGCTGTACAGGAGTACACAGTGGGTGCGTATGGCTCGCTGAATACAGCTTGTTATGCCTTTGAACTCCACAGCGGCATCAAGAACTAGGAGTCTGCTTTGTCAGAGAGCAGCCATGAGCTGTTTGTCGGGGAGGCAGATGAGGAATTTTAGCCACCAAAGCTAAACTGTGCACTCCGTTAGCATCGCTACCATCTTCTAGCCTCGCGCTGAGGCCAGCTGGCTTAGTTCAGTGGTAGCCAGACACCTATCAGGTTAGTCAACCTCTGACGGAAAAACCACACCGTGGCCCAGAGTTTAACACAGAAATTTTTACTCTGTTCACTCTAGGCTACGGAAAGGATTCCCACCACTGAAGAGAAGACGAGCCACCTGACTTCAGTGGTCTGGGACACTCCAGTGGGTTTCCTAGAACGGATTTCAGAGTGCCATTTTCCAAGATAACACAGGTACCAGTGGCCTTTGTGGTCCACAGCGACTTGTTACTATTAGTATGCATTTTTTGGTCAGCTGGCTAACTCTTATTTTAAAGCCCTCAACTGAACAGCTTGATCAATCAGTAATAACAGACTTGTCCCCAAGCCAGGCAGATAATGATCTGAAGTCACTGCCAGCAATGGTGTTATTATTCTGATTGTTAAAGATTTCTTACAGGGTAATTAACAGTCTCAGTTCCTTGCAGCCAGGAGTCAGATGGATTGACTATAGTCAGTAACTTACTCTCATCTCTGGGAACTAAGCTCAAGGAGGAGAGTATTTCATCTTCTTGCTGGGGGAGTACTAGAAGCCTAACGGTCAGAGTGAGCTCCATGCAAGCTGCCTTACCCTTGCTGGGAAGAGCGCATGCATCTGAAGCTGTGACCACAGAACAGGGGACACCCCAGCTAATCATGCTTCAAAACTGACCCTCACAAATGACTGGTCACATCATCGCTGTTTCTTCTATGTACTATCTTACTACTCCCAGCTCTTTCACCTTCAGTCACACGCAAAACCAAGGATCATTCACATTCTGTGCCTCAGAACAATTTTTACTTTTCAAAACAAAAGTAATTTCCAGAGAACATAGCTCACCTTAAAGGATATTTCATACTGCTCTCCTCCCCATATCTCCAGACCTGCATCATACCCTCCCAGCTCCCAGAACCACTTTCTATCGACTGCAAACAGTCCTCCAGCCATTACAGGAGACCTTAAGGAAAAACCAGACTCCATATTACAAACACATTCAAAGATACAGATCTCTAGCTAAACATTTTAAAAACAAAGCAAGAGTTGACAAATATTCTTTTCACCACTCAGTGTTCCCGGTGCCTTTGCAGCCCTGTCAGAGCATCAAACAGTTGGTTTTGCATGATCTACTAATTTCCCACTGGCAAATGAGGAGGACCAGACAAGGCTCCCTTCAGAACCAGTCAATGCCCCTCCTCCAAACAGGCAAAAGAGTTCACATTAAGCGACAGGACATAACCTCTCCCAGAGGGACCCATACGCTGCACATGTGGTGCTCTTTGTCTCAGCAGTACCATCAAGTCATTGAGCTTGACCTCAAAAAGTGTTTTGTTGGGTTTTTTTTGGAACACTGCAGAAGTACAAAGGACAGCAGAACTGTCTCAGTGTTGGCAAGCACAGCAACAGCAGAACATAACTTGACCACAGATTTACTTCTGCAATGGGCTGCAATCATCAAAATTGCTGTAATTATTCTGCTAGGTTTTCTTCCCCCCCACCTGGGAATGACATATAAGCCGCCATTGGTTTGTTGTTTTTGGCAGAGCATTCGGGATACTAATTTATGTTCGAAAGATCTCAGTAATAAATGACCACATTAGATGTTGGACATTACAGTTTTAAATTAAATGTTAACTTCTGCAGGAATTAAGGTGGCAAAAAAAAGCAATGAAAAGGAAAGCGTTCACAGCTACTACACAATGCATTTCTTTTAAACCAACAAAGCAAACAGCTGCCAAAAAGCAAGTAGCTTAACGCCAGCTTCTGACTTTTACTACACTGAGGTGTAAACCAACCCTGTAAGAGGATGTCATTTTGTTAGCCAGCTTTTCGCACACTGCATTTCAGTAACTTACTCAAAGGGATCACTGGGATCAAGTTTCTGTAACTCAGGAGGAATAGGGATCCTCTTGTAATACATCTCCCAGTCAAATGCACCTCGCATTGCGTCTCCGGCCTGAGTCTCATATCCAAAGTGGTCATGATCAATAACATCAATCATAGGGCAAACGATAGTCTTTCGGTTTCGGGCAATGCGATCTGAAGATTGGAGAAACATGTTAGAAAAACCTGCACCAGTTAGTTCCTTTGATCACAAAATTAGGGAAAAGAGCATCAAAATATGAAGTTGGCCAAGAACGACATAGCTTTCTTCCTGTTCATTCTCTTTTAGGGCAGATGCTCCAATTTATATCAATTTATCTGGTATTTCTGCAATAATTGAGATATTAAAGCTAGAACTATTGAGATACAAACACCAGGCACTCATGCTACAGTGACCATCACCCAGAAGCAGAATAGAAAGACACAGCCACACTACCACAGATACATCAACTGCCAGGATAAACCAGACAATCTCGTACTTAGTGAGCAGTCCTCATTTTAACGAGCAACTGGGATGTGAAACCTTTCTGCACTGTTCCAAAGCCAGGGCAATAACCCATAGTACCGCCTAGCTTTAACTGCTGTGCCAGAATCTGGCAGGAAGCGATTCAGACTAATGGCATATACTCTCAGCAGGCTCAGGAAATGCAAATGTACCTCCTCCCCTCAACCTTTCCTTCCAACCCAATAATACAAGACAGCATTAGTTCCTGCATAAACATCTGGAACTTCTTAAATACTTTATTACCGAGATGATCTCTCCTTGGAAGTTAACTTTCAGAGCAGAGGCGACAAATGATGTTTCAGCTTCCAATGCACGTCTAACAGAAAACCTTTTTATGCTTTAAAATTAAAGTGTACTCTACAAGTTTTAATTTAAATGGCATTTGAGCTAATGCTGTCCTCCCTCCCCAGGACTCGTGAAACTGCAAATATTTCACACTATCGCCAGATACAAACGGTAGCGAAAGCAACAGTATTACCATCCAACAATCCCGCTGACAAATCTGACTCCTTTTTCTTAAACCTCCACTTGGCTGTTGTTGTCACAGTTTATTTGACAAAGTCACACCTCAGAGAAAGCTTTGACAGGTCACTAGCAGTAGGGTTGTAAAGGAGTCTGGCACTGGCCAGAGGCATACAGGTACCAGAAACAGAAGGCACTGTCCTTTCAATTAGTCATCCTTGAAAAGAACTGACATTGTAAAACTGATGCCTCCTTAAAGATGAAGCACTGCCTTGGAGAGGACTGCACATGTTCTACAAATACATACTAGCAGCTGTCATTCACAAGAAGTATTTTCCACAGGCTTGCAGACTATGAAGTTAAATATAGTTATACAGGAGAAAAAACAACCCTAAAAGCTACTTAAAAACCGTACAGGAGAAAAAAACAACCCTAAAAGCTACTTAAAAACTGTATGTAAAGATCTTTTCTGTATCATAAAGCCACTCCTCTCTGCAAGGTGCTCAATGACCATGCGATAGTTTACTCTTCCAGCAAACTATAAATTTTTTAAGATTTAATCTAGTGATCAAACAGAAGAATATGATCTCCGCTCTTTAATTAAGCAAAGCATATGATAGAGTTATTGTACAGTGCAGGACTCTAGAACAGAAAAAAAAATCCTGTATTAAAGGCTACAAGTTGCCAACAATTCACCTCAGTCTTGTGGTTGGTTGTTTTTTCAGTGGGTTTTTTGTTTGTTTGTTTTCCCTTTTCAGACAGTTCATCTTCCTTTTGTCCACTTACAGCATGAGGGGAAAGCAGCAGGTGGAAGTAAAACGAATAGAACACCAACATGTGTTGCCAGCTCTTTCACAGTTCAGTGTTCAGCCACGTACAGCACCACAGGCTTACCTAACAGAGGCGGCAGCCAGTTCACGTTGGCCTCGCAATGGGAATCCAGGAAGGTGATGACATCCCCTATGGCCACGGAGGCCCCCAGCATCCGAGTTCTTATCAGCCCTTCTCTCTTTTTGGTTCGGAGGATTCTTACTTTTGGGAACTGGGCCATATAATCTTCCAGGCGTTTCTTCAGATGTTCTGTATGAAGATGAGAAATTTAAACACTGTAGTAACTAATTTCTAAAAAAATGCAGTTTGTTCTTTATCGGAAGGAGATGTCTTTGGAAGTAGGTCCTAAGCAGTTAACAAATGCAATCACAGGAAAAAGGAAGTAAGAATAATTTATTTTAAATCCAGGGTTTAAACATAACTGCATAACCAAGACTTCTGAAGATGTTCCAAAACCTTAGAAGCAATTAAAAAAAAATAAAGAGGACCTAGGAGAAAATGGAGGAGTGCAGGATGAGAAAGAACACAGCAGAGGAAAAGGAATAAAAAGCCAGCTGGCAGACCTCTGGGAGAAGTCTATCAGAGCAAGGATTCTCAGACACTTTTGTGGAAAACCAGTGTAGCTTAGAAGAGGCACAGGACAATTTACTTTCAGAAGTAAACTGAACCCAGTACATTTAAGCTGCATTGTGTGTTTTGAAGAAACCAATGACCATCCGCTCATGAGTAAATAAACAGCAAAAAGCCTAGTCAGGCATCCCTCCAAGCCAGCAAGGCAGGAATAGCTGCTATATCTATTTGGATAGCTACGTTAAAATGCTTATCAGAGGAGATATGGAAATATTTGTGCTACTGAATATGAACTGGAGCCCCATCTGAATTAGCACACATTTGCAGTCACCACAATTAACAAGAATTCAAACAGGAGAACTGCAGAAAAAGATTACTGAGTGATCAAAACAATGGACAGCTTGTTTAGATGTGGAAATAAAAAAAGCTTGGTCAACATAAAGAGTGAGGGGCACACAGCTGTCTTTACATCAAAGAATGAAGCACCAAATAAAAACCTAAAAACGGGCTAAGAGCTGATGCTGGCCTCATCACTAATGGATTGATCTTTAGGCATTTGAAAATTTGACTTACTTGACAGCAAACCCCATTCACAGTGTGCCAGGGACTGTTCATTAATGTACCATACTATCCACTGCCATCAGCGACCGACCAAGGAAACAAGCCCCGCTAGGAGAAAGCTAGTTTGTCAAATCTAAGCAATTAACTAATCTTAACATCTCACACAACAAAACTTGTACAGAGGCAGTCATTCCAATACTAATAACCTCCCAGGTTTATTTGCCTTGACTACAGGGAACACCTCCACTCCATTCTGTACAGCAGAGTCTCCCTTGGCTCCAAGAGCAGGCGTGAAAGAGGGGGCTGAAAAGGCAGACAGTGTGAAAGTTCGCCTGAAAAGGGCACCAGGGAAGCTGGGTATTGGAATAGCTCTCTAAAAAGTGCAGAGACAAGTAAACTTAACCAAGTTATGAGCTCTCCCCCATGGTGCTGGCCCTGCATTTGTGTTTCAGGATTTTAGCTACTGGAGAAAAAAAAAATGGCCAAAACCGCTATGACTAATACATGTTCTGCACCTTCTCTTTGAAGCAGCTACCACCTGCCTTCCTTCAAAGATCACCCAAATCAACTTCTTCGCTTTTGAGGTATTCCTAGCAAGCTCTTTGCCCTTTTCAAAGCTTTAACATTCCCCAGGATTTTTTGCTCACAAATACATTTTAGTGTTTTGCCTGACAAGTTTAATTGTCCCACAGCATCTACATAGGTTTCCCTGCTCAAAAGAGCCCTTAGCACTTCTTGCTGTCTAGCATGCTTTTCTCTCATCCTTTTCAAGTCTCTTCTGAATAGATCCTCTCACGCAACCAGAAATTTTGTCCACTCAATTACAGATTTTTCAAACAAGGGCCTTCCATAGAGACTAGAGACATTATTAGTGCAGCTGTCTTCTTCCTGAGGCAGTGGATAGACTTAAAAAGCTTAAAAAAAAAATAAAAGCCACCACCCCCGTTTAACATCACAGCTCATCCCTCGCCATTGTTAGTTTATCACAAAGGATCAGTCAATCAGAAAAGAGAACACACAATCCTCACTACAAGCACAAATCAGCTAAACCCAAGCCAGGAGGCACACCTTACTTAGCTAATGTACCCAAGACACGATAAACGTGAGAGTGGCTGCTGGTGCTCACTGGAACAAAGGAGGTAACCATCCCCCAGGAGCTCTGGGTGCAATTCCCCTAACAGCAGCCACAGATACTGCAGCACTTGCAAAATCAGACTCCACAATATTTACGTTATCTAAACCAGACCTACAAAGCTCGGGAAAGTAATAAAAAATCCAAAGTTCCAAAACAATGGAAAATACTTACAGACTTTCTGCAATTCTTTATTTTGATAGAAACAAGAAAGTGAGCCTGTGAAAGGCCACAGAGGTTTGTCTTCCACCTGTGTGCTGGTTATTTGACATTTTGGCATCGTATCCCTTTCTGAACTGTCCTGGTTTGCTGGGCAATTTCATCTGTGGTGACACCTGAAGGCAGCCTAACCGATTTCTCCAGGGGTATGAGGATGGCACGGCTGAGCCCGCTACCAAGAAACACTAGCGTGTTTTTGCATCTGGTCTTACACAGGAAGACACACACCAGCAAGTGAGCAAAAAGTCACTGGACTTGGCCATATCTGTACTGGTGATGGTGGCTACTCTGCTACAGACCAGCTGAAGACAAGCTGATTTATACTGTTAATGAACGAGCAGTTAAGAACTGCGAGATTTCCCCATTTTATAGTGTAACGGGAAAAAAGAAGGCATAGGAGCCACAGAGTTTTCTCAGGTGAGTGCTCTGCCAAGAGACAGCAGGAACTCTAATCCACTGACTTCTCATTCCATTCCCAAAAGCTGGATATGGTTCTCCAGCACTTCTTTACTACATTTCCAGAAAAAAAAAAAAAAAATCAAAGCATTTCATGCTCGCAGTGAGTAGCCTGCTCTATGCTGCACTGGTAAGAAATGTCTCACACATTAGGAATCTTCTTATGTCTCTGATGCCTGGAAGAAGCAAGGAAATGCTACAAGTACTCCACCAGTACCCACGTGTTCTCACTGGTGCAGGGGACACAGGTACCAAGCGCTGTCCTTGTAGCCAGGACGGATCATGGTCAAATAAGCTGTTTCCAATTGCAACAGAAAAATACATGCTTGAACATTGCATTTTATAAGATTAAGACTTATGTATCATGAACTGCAAGTGAGCAGACTTTATTGTATCTACTTTCCCTTACTAGAGTCACAGACTTCCAAGCAATCTCAAACAACATACAAAACAGTGAAACATACTTTTCAAAGACAAGGTTTTCTTATTCCTTAACTCTGCACTACTCCTGCCCCTAGCCTGGTCTCTACATGCCCAGACGCAAAATATTTATTTCACTCTATTACAAATATTGTCATAATTAAGTCAATTTTTGCTTTTTAAAAAAAATCTCAAAAAAACAAACAAGTGGCATTAACTACTACAAAATTTTATGAGGCTTTAAAAAATATATTATGGAATCTTGTCACACTGAATGATTTTTATTACAAGGGCAATTTTCTTTAATGAAAGTTGTTCGGTGAACTGGATGGATTCCAATGGCTGTGCCTACTCTGGGAAAAGTAATACAGCCCGAACATATAAATGAGAGTAAGATTATCTGCAGATTAAAAACCAGGCTGGTAGCTTGCTAACAGACTTTGCAATAAACTTGATATACAGCGTATACATTAACAGTACCAGTCAAGAACTACTGCTTGCTTTGAGCTGTAAAATAAAATTGTGTGAAGACACTGGAGAAGCTTCAACAGCAAGTCTGCTTAGCATAAGCAGTCCCAAAGCTTTCCAAAATAAGACTTTATTTTTTTTTTTCCTTCCCCCCTAAGTCAAACCCCTGTGGTGGTCCTACTGCACTTCTTCCTTCTGGCCTCACCATCCAAGCAGAGCTGCCCTCAGATGCCATTAGTCTAGTGACCCCTTGCAGCACAGCAAGGACTTCCCAAGACAGGAATTTCTCTTGTTCAGCTGAATTATTTTGGCCACTTTCCAAACACCAAAACCTGAAGTGCAACTGTTCATCTGGCATTTGTTTACAGGTTATCCCAGCCTCCCGTCCTTACCTTCCCACACACAGACATGCTTAAGATTACAAATGAATACCTTCATCTTTACTTAGATACTTGGCCCTAACGTGCTGTTTAACAGTTTAAGAATGCATTATACTTCTCCAGAATCTATCACAATGTGCAAGCCAGGCCTCCCTGAAATAGAAAGCTCTGCATCATCGAAATTAACCTCTCTCCCTGTTTTGGTGCAGATGAGTAATCCTTTTAAATAGCAAAATGTGCTGTTATCCAAACAGGCAGCACTTACACTAGTTTTAATTTTCTTTCAATGTTTTCACCCTCTGATCACTGAAGTTGGTTGGGAGGATAATAAACTGATTTAAGATATTGTACTATGAACACCAGTCCCAATAATAGCAAACTGATTAAGCTGATCACAGCCTTCCAAGCCGAATCTTATTACAAGCAAAGAAGAAAAGGCCTGGGAAGGGAGAAAATTAATAGCTGTTGCTTCACTGATTACAGTTCTGTGGTAGAGACACTTAAAAGGGAGGGGGCCCAGTTTCCACTGCCCATTCTGCAACAGTGTTGGGTCTCAGCACATCTTCACAAATGAAAAATGTGGGGAAAGAAGGGTTTCTGTGCACGGGACAATAGCTGCAAGTGTATCACCCCCTCCTTGCTAATATAGTGGTCATCACTGTTTAGATTGTAACAAAGCTTAAAAGAATTAGGTTTCTGGAAGTCCTATTGACTTTGTTATTTTTCTAAACATTTTAAAACCAAGCCTCCATTTTAGGTACAATAAAGTGCACAAAAGTGTAAGTGTGGAACCTACGAAATAAGACAGACTGCAAGCTCCTGGGGCAAAGACCACAGGTGTGAGCCTGTGCTGTGTGCTTCGATAAACTCAAATGCATAAACTTCTGCTGTTTCGCCTGTATCATCAATTACCTCCTGAATTTGCAAAGGGAACTTTCTCATAGCTTCCTCCACCCTACAGAACACATCCAAACCCTGCTCAGTTATGGCTTCAGGAAATACTAGTACTGAACGCAGAGACAAAGGTGTAATCTTAAAATGAG